GGCCCTGCACCCGCCCGCCCGATGGCGTCCCGGACGGTGCACAGTGGCCCCGGCCGGCCTGGGTCGTCTGCACACCACGCGCGCCCGCACGCGGGGCACGGGCTCGGGAGCTGGCGGCTCCACCCCTTAGGCGCCGATGGCCACGCCCCTCCGCGAGTGGCCACACCCCCAGGCAGTGGATCCGCCCCCAAATCGCCCCACCCCTCAGAGGTAGCCACACCCCTCAGACAGTGGCCCCTCCCCTCCGGTGGACGCTGGGTGTGCGGGGCTGCGGCCTGCGTGCGGGAGGGGGGACTGGGTGTGCGGGGCTGCGGCTTGTGCGCGGGGCTATGCGTGCAGGGCTGCGGCCTGTGTGCGGGGCTGTGCGTGCGGTCACCGTGGAGAGGATGGCTGGACCAGTCCGCACCTGCCAGGGGCCGGCCGCTGGCCTGGGGGTTTCCAACACGAGCTGTTTGCGTCGGTGCCGTCGTGGAAGGGGGGTTGGGTCACGGGCACCATCTTGTCCGCACGGAGGAGGGCGAGGTCCCCCCCAAGACCCCCCCGTGACGGGCCAGCCGCGTCCCGCGGCCACTGCTCCAGCCTCGGGTCTCCCCCACGGCCTCCCTGCCCCCCCCTCGCCTCTCCACGGCCTCCCTGCCCCCCTCAGCCCCTCCACGGCCACTGTGTCCCCCTCAGCCCCTCCACGCTCACTGTGTCCCCCTCAGCCCTCCCAGTCACTGTGTCCCCTCAGCCCTCCCAGTCACTGTGTCCCCTCAGCCCTCCACGGTCACTGTGTCCCCTCAGCTCTCCACGGCCTCCCTGCCCCCCATCAGCCCTCCACGGTCACAGTGCCCCCTCAGCTCTCCCCTGGACTTGGTCTGGGCTGTGGGTGCCCCTTTTCCGCTCTTTCTCTCCTCTCCTGCTCTCCTGGCTCAGTTCCTGACAGTGTTCAGTGTAGTCAAGGGGTGGGGGCTTCGGACAGGAGTCCACCCGCGCTCACCGCTTTCAATAAAGGCCCCCAGGGCCACCTCTGGAAATGTGGCTTCTCTGTTTCTCTTGACTGAATTCCCTTACATTGGGTTCGCGTGGGTTTGTTTTGTTTTGTTTCTCAGTACTGGGGTATGAACTCGGCTTCACACTTGCTAGGTGGATGCTCTGTCACTTGAACCACACCTTCAGCCCTGTCTCTGTTTTGGGGTGTGTGTATGTTTAAAATAAATTACCCAGTCTCAAATATTCTGTGATAGAACACAAAACACTGAAACCAAGTGTTCCCATGCTCTCTCCCATACTTTGTTGGCATACAGTTAACTGACAGCTTTGCTGTTATTATTTTGAACACACAGTGTGTGTTTGGCTATTTACATGGCCTGTCTTTCTGGACTGGAATAGAGGCACCATTAGTACAGGAATTGTGTTTGTCACAGCCCCCCTTTGTAGAGCCACCACCAAAAGAGCATTTGGCACAGAGGGATTCAGAGTTAGCACTAGCCTGACTAGCCAGTTCTTCTTCTTAGGGTAATTTGATGTGCTACCAAATATACAAATAATAGATGTAACACGAAGCCTGAGAGGCACTTGTGAAAACTAAAGCGCTCATTGGGCTAATCATTTGAGTGGAGGGAGGTTTCCATGGTCAAAGAAAAGCTATAAATCCTCCTAACTCTTCCTGTTAGCACCTACTGGACAGGATCCTCGGAGAGAGCAGGTTAGTGCGGCAGCTCTTCATATATTCCTCTTCCAGTTTTTGGTAGAATATGCTTTGTTGCCCAGTTTGTAGCATATAGTTAGCAACTGTTTTAATGTTAATGCTTATGATTCCAAAGTCTGCTTGTATCAGATAAAAAGGACAGGTGATTTGTCATCAGGCATGACAAATGTATCTCTAGATAGGGCCTTTCTGAAGGCTTGTGCTGCCCCACGACTGACCAAAAAAAAAAAAATGCAACAGTTAAATGGTGAATGACATAACAGACAGAACGGGGAAACGTGTTGATTTGAGGGCTATTTTCCAGCCCATTTGTTTTTTGTTTTGTTTTGTTTTGTTTTGGTCGGTTGTAGGGCTTGTACTCTGGGCCCGGGCGCTGCCCCTCAGCTCTTCAGCTCAAGGTGAATACTCTTCCGCTTGAGCTACTGCACCACTTCCAGTTTTCTGGTGGTTCGTTGGAGATAAGAGTCTCACAGACTTTCCTGCCCGGGCTGGCTTTGAACTGTGACCCTCAGATCTCAGCCTACTGAGTAGCTAGGATGACAGGCGTGAGCCGCCAGCACCTGGCTATTTTTTTTTCATTTTTCAAATTTTTAAAAATCACTTAGATGTTTTTGAACACAGTTGGTTCACACACAGGCACCGGCCACCTCGTGCTGTGGTGGCTGACAAGGGTACAGGATCTTCCTGGATCTGGGAGTCTGCCCCGGGCATGGGGAGGATGCCACCCCTCAGTCTGAGCGGCACTGCTCTGTGCCCACGTTTCCGGGGCGCTTCCTGCAGTGGAGCCGCTGTGATTCAGTTCTGAAGCCTGCGTTTTTCTCAGACTTGCCCCAGTCTTTAAACCACAACGACCATGATGGCAGTTCAAATTTGATTATTCTCAAGTAGCATCAAGGATCTGAGTAGATAAGAGTCTCTCTTTTGGCTTTAGCTTTTTCATCTGAGTTCAGACTTCTTGTGAGCTTGGGGAATTCACAGGTGAGAGCGTGGTAGAAGTGGGCTTCAAAGTGGCACCAGGCTTTAACTCAGATGGATGTAGGAGAGATGTGTTCTTCCTTATTGTCTAAGAGATTTTGATTACTTATTTTTATATTATTATTCTTATTACTGTTATGATTATTTGAGGCCTGAGGGAGGGGGCTCAGCTCTCAAGGCTGAAGAAGCTCTCAAGGCAAGAAGCCTACTTGGTGAGCCAGTTTAGTTTCATTTCGGACATCCCTGCAGGCTAATAGCAGACAGGAGAATCAGAGTTGGGACAACAGATGCTGAGGAGAATGTCAGGGGAAAGGAACCTTGATACTCCGTTGGGGAGATGTAAAAATGCAGTCACTGTGGGGATTAGTATGGAGGTTCCTCCAGAAACTAAATTTTTTTTTGGGGGGGTGGATCCGGTCATGGGGCCTGAACTCTGGGCCTGGGCGCTGTCCCTCAGCTCTTCAGCTCAAGGCGAACACTCTACCACTTGAGCCACAGCACCACTTCCAGATTTTTTCTTTTTGCTTATGTGGTGCTGAGGAATGGAACCCAGGGCCTCATGCATGCAAGGCAAGCGCTCTCCCACTGAGCCACCTTCCCAGCCCCAGAAACTAAATATTGAAGTACCATGATCCTGCTGGGGAGCCAAAGTCAGCATGGAAACTGCATACCTCTGTTTATGCAGCACTATTCACAATTGCCAGGCTGTGGGAGCAGCCTAGAGGCCCTACAATGGGAGAATGGACAAAGAAATTGTGGTGTATAGAATATGCATAATGAAGTTTCATTCAGGCATAAAGAGATGCGAAGTTATGCCATTTGCAGGAAGATGGGTAGAACTGGAGAACAAAGCCAGACTCAGAATGACAAATATTGCAAGTTTTCTCTCCTAGGCAGAATCTAGACAGAAACAAGAGCATACAAAGGGAACTATTTGTTCTTTGAGGGGTGGATATCGGTGGGTAGGAGAGGATCACGGGAGGTAGCCAAGGTAATAAAAACACACTGTATACGTGTATGAAAATGGCACAATGGAACCCATTATTTTATTTTTAAAGAAATGGGAGTTGTGTTCATGCTCTGCATTTTCTCCATGGTCCCGACTCGTGCTGGCAGCGCCCTCAGTGTCTGCAGGCCGCTGACTCAGGGTGCATTGCTTTCATGCCTTGGTTTGCTAGAGACAGAATGACTCTTCTACTGAGCCTGTTTTTCCATACTCTTAAATAATGAGATAATTGGCTTTACTTTTTAAGCCTGAGCAGATTTGAGCTTCTGTATTACCAAGCTATGCTTTGTCCTAACTTCTGTTGAGTCAAGGAAAAGGGGATTAGAGGGCCTACTTTAGGGCTTAATCTACAGTGTCACAAAGCTGATAGATGTGTGATTACAAATACTTACTCTGCACAGCTCCGTCAGCTCCTGTAACACCAAGTTACGTGCATGTCTGTGTGGTGCTCAGGGTTGCGCCATGCGTGCTAGGCCCGTGTACCACGGGGATGCCCCGGCCCCGTAGTGAGTTTCTGTTAAATGCTTCACAAGCCCTGAGCCTCCCAGCAGCAGGGCACGGGGGATTTGCATCTGTGCAGCCAGCACGGCAGGCAGGCTCACTTTGCCTACAGCACCGTTGAGATGCAGTCTTGTATTTTCCAGGCTGCCAGGTTCGGTCCTCTTCATCTCTGCCTCCTGGGTAGCTAAGATTGCGGGCATGAGCCACTGGGCCTGGCCTTAAAGACTACGACTATTTCTGCTCAAGAAATAAAACACTGCTGGCAACTTTTGAACCCCTCACTTCCCTCCCCAGTCACAACCCCTTCTCCTCACAATTGGCAACCTCCATCTTCGCAATCATGAGTTTCTTGCTTTCCTTGGCCATTTCCCCGGATATGTTTGTATCCCTTTGCCAGGCCTTTGGATACCTGCTTCCGCCACGCTCTACACACAGCTAATGTCAGGAATGGTGTGCTAGTTTGTGTTGTGAACATAATTTAAAAATCTTTCCCTTTAGGAAACTGACCTGGGAGTCATGGCCGCCAAACCCAAGCTCTACTACTTCTGTGGCAGGGGAAGAATGGAGGCCATCCGCTGGCTGCTGGCTGCCGCTGGTGTCGAGGTGGACTCCCGATGGGGAAGAGGAAGACGGAGGGTGGGGATGGGGTGGGTCGCCGCCGCTCCCCTTCTCCAGGGTCCAGCATGCTGCACCCAGGCTGGGCCTACTCTTCCACTGAGATGGGTGCGGGGGTGCTGGTCCCGAGGAGCGGGGGGGGGGGGGGGGGGAGGGCGCTGAGGGTCTGG